AGTCCAAATCTTGCAATGAATATAGCGTCATTAAATATTACAAGAGCTTTTTTTACAAGACTTTAATTGCAAGGTATTAGTTCTTTGTCAACATTAATTCATTTATTTTTTCCCCAAGCACCTACTGTGCATGAGGGATTCTTTCTGGCTTTTTGGAGGAAGACTAAGGTGTCGTGAAATCAATGTTCTAATCATCGGTGTACCCCGATCTTGGAGAACTGAACTTAAAAAAAAAAAAAACCTGGGGATGGCTCTTCAAATGTATTCTTAAAACGGGGATCCAGTCTGTAGTTCTGAGTACTGAAATCATTCAAGTTGAATGCCTAGAAAATGGCAAGTATACAGAAAGAAGTTACCTGAGAACATTTTGTTCTATAGCATTTGGCTGGTCCCCTGAGAACACCTGAATTCCTACAGTGAACAGAGTTCTCGTAGGTAATATTCTCCTCTTTTCACTGCAAGATCACATTTTCTCTCCCTGAAGTTGCTTACCTGATTTATTAGATATTATCCTGCTGCCCCAACAAAAGAAGTAGGGTACTCCACATGCTTAATAGATAATCCTCATATTTAAGAGAGTATTTTGTTATGCGTTCAAAGCTATTGCAGAAAAAGGTGATCATTTTGAACCTCATGTGTTCATTGAGTAGAGCATCAGTGTAAACCTCTCAGAGGCTGTATTGAGGTTGCACTGCCTATATTTATGTTCTTTTAACATATTTATTTGATCATGTTTGACCTCCATAAACATATGACTGTATTTCCAGTATTTCAAAAAAGTTAAACAGAAATTAAAATTTCAGCACGTGGAATCACGTTGACTCTGCTCGATGTAAACGACAGTTGCTGACAAAGTTGGGATGCTAATGCCCGTAGCTTAGAGTCTTCTGCTTCTTGAGTGTAAGGGGTAAATAACAGTAGAAGGTAGCTGCTGTGCCAATAAATCATCCTCCAGTGGTGGCTGCGGTCATGTACTTCGTCAGTAAGTTCTGCCACCGTTTCGTAGGATGCAAAGACGTGCTGAGACATCTTTCCCAATTTGTTGGTATTGTAGTGGTTAAATATCCTGTTCTCCCAGCATTTATTCTTCCCTTTCTGTGCTTCTACCACTCTATTTTTTCAAGATTGTTTAGACCATGCTTGAGGCAAATAGGTAAATTTTCTGGAATAAGTCTTGATAAATCTATACTAAATGTGTGCAAAAAGCAATTTTCACCTAAAAAGATCTGGGCAGGCTTTAAGGGGAAGGGGAAAGGGCATGCACCATATGCTGAGCTGGTCCTCTGGCTACATTTCTGATCTCTGCAACGTGGGAGATGCTACAACTGCTCCTTAGCATTAGCAAAACAGGACAGAAGATACATTGTCTCTGAACCTTCTTCTTACAAAAGAGGTGGACATTTTAGCTGAACTTTTTCAAAACCATCCAGTCACGCAGACTGGATATAATCACAGTAAGAGGAGAAGTTTGACAAAGGTATAAGCAGTTGGAAGTAGGGTCTTATAAGTGAAGAGAAGTATAACCTTAACTGAAGTAACTGTTACTGCCACCATCTGTAGTAGCCTATAAGCATGAAGAGACAAAATCTAATTAGGCAGAAAATTATACTAAGATTAAAATTTTTGTTTGTTTTGTTTCATTGAGCCAATCCAGAGAGGGATTGCAATAATTGCAATTATTTATGGCCTTTATTTGGCATATTCACACAATATAACATTGACTAAATTTCCGCTATTGCAGAGGAAAATTATATGCTAAAATTTTTGGTACTTTTCTAGCTGCATTTATACAATGAAGAGTAATTGAAGTCTCTGTAGAAATCAGTGTATGTGTGCATTTGTTTCAGAATTGGAATATACAATAGGCTGTCTAGTTTGATCTGTAGACTAGCAATATTATGCAATTGCAAGCCCTGTAGCCCAAACTTCCAGCACCACTCTACAAACAAGAACAAGAAATATATATGCATATTCCCTTAGGTGTGCAAAAGCCTGTATTATTATTATTTTTTTTTTTTAGTTTAAATGACCATATCTTTGTGAACCCACTGTTCTACAGTTGTATTAATGAGGATATGGTGAAAATGCAGTCCTCTTTGTCCTGTGTTTTTGATAAAACTAAAACATTTATTAATAGCAGTGAAATCATGAAACCAAAATATTTCTGATACTAAATTATTTTCAGTATTGCTGGGCCCTGAAGTTGAAGAGGCACAGAATACACGTAAGATAGTTTTTGATAGCATATCTCAAATCTGCATGGGAAAGCAAGATACATACAAATAAATATAAATTTCCTTATAAATAAACTTGGTCACTTGAGATGTTTCTGCAGGTGAAGTAGTAACTGTTATTTCTTTAAAATGTGCGCTTGCCATAGATAATGGAAAAACAATCACAGGGAAAATGTTTTATACCATCTAAGTAATTGTACAGTAGAATACATTTAAAATTATCTGTTTGAATATTTATTGTGAGAAATTTGAAGATGGGCATTTGTGAAATATGGAGAGAGGTCAATGTATGGAGTTCAAAATCACTAGGGCTTGAAACTGAAGCCTAGAATAAGCTGCAATTCCTGCTTTTGCCTAGAAGTAACCATGCAGAGAGCTTTATAATTTTCCCACTATTCATTTCTGCGCCATCAAACTCTAGTTGATTCAACATCTGTTTGTCAAAGAAAGGAAATCCAACCCTCTCATCTAATTTCTTCTATTCATCATTTAAGCAAGTATCAGTGAAGGATTCAACAAAATGCTGTGTTCAGACAAACAATACATAAAATACTGTGTGCTTATTTCATCCTCATTCTAATATCAAGTCCTCCCTCCAGTGGCTGCTGTTACAGTTTTTTACTTTTTAAGTAAGAACTGGAAATTTCTTTCTTAAAGCCAGATTGGGGAGTAGGGGTGGTGGTGGTGTTTTTGCTTTTTTGTGCTTCTAGCTCAGTAGGTGAATCTTTAAGTTATCTACTGTTTTCTCAGTGGCAGTGGCTTCATCTGAGAAATGATCCCAGGCACCCGTTGTCGGGGCAAAATACCAGGAATTCTCTCCTGCCCTTCAGTGTTACGTGTAGCGTTGTTGTGCTGTTGGTCTCTGCGTTGATTAATGTGGTGGTGGGGGGAGTAAATTTAGTAACGCAAACCTATGTTCACACAAATGTTGTGTTTCTTTCCTTGTGCCATAACAAGCTTTTGAGTGTGTAACCAT